ATCTTCAATTCTTGTGCCTTGGCATGTGTTCCCATTCTGCCACACATCTACTCTCCAGTCTTTTACCATGAAATCTAATTAAATCATTTCTTACGAATACCTTATGTTTCTCATCAATAGCAAGCATATCTGTCTTCAACTGATGCAGGACTTTCTTATCCGGTTGCCGTATTCCGTGGAATAGTTGTCTTCTGACTGTGTCTTCAAATAAAGCAATTTTCTAGCTATGGCTGGAGCCAATAATACAGGGTGAGATTAAAAAAAACTGCAACCAACTTCAGACTGCAGTCATTTCTAAGCCATTCGTCTGACAGCTGTTAAAATTATTCCAGTGACAGCTCACTATATTGTTTACAAGGGTACAAAGGCATTTTGGTGAGAATTTTCCAGAACAAATGTTATTCGTGATGGATGGGAATTCAAGCGTGATAGTGTGATTTCTTTATATTTGGCTGGAGAACCACAAGTGGCTATCGTTAGAGCACTCCAGCATTTAAATGTGAATAAATCTTTTATGTCTCGTGCCATCACTCGTTACCGTGAGCATAGCCCGACGTCAAGGAAGTGCACGGAAGAAATCAGCAGTATCAGCAGAAATGGTTCGAAAACAAAAAGAAGCAACTTGATCGAAACCCGCGTCGCAGTGGCCGAAAAATGACTCGTGAGTTGAACATATCGCAATATTCCGCAAATATTGAAAAATGAGCTCGGGCTAAAGCCATTGAAATTGCAAAAACTGCAAGAACTTACACCGCAACAGAAAGAAAATAGACTCAAAAGAGCTAAAGAGTTGCTTCGCTTGGCCGAAAGTGGTGAACTGCCGAATTTTGTTTTTGGTTTTCTCCGATGAGAAAACATTCATTGTCCAGCTGTTTGTAAACAATCAAAATGATCGTGTTTACTTGCCAAAGAGGTCAGCTGAAAATGTGCACCTTCAGTTGGCCACCAGAACTCCAGCGCCGGCCATGGTGATGGTGTGGGCCGGCCGCCTTAACAGCCGATGGTCGCTCTCCGCTCGTATTAATCGATTAGAATAAATGCCGAATATTATCGCGAAAATATTCTGGAGGGTGTATTAAAGCCTTGGGCACGCAAACATTTTGGCCGCAGACCTTGGATATTCCAACAGGACTCAGCACGCGCCATCCAAGAATGGTTACTAAATGAGGTTGCTCGTTTCATTTCTAGCGCACAATGGCCACCAAAATCTCCGGATACCAATCCGTTGGACTATTTTGTCTGGAGTATTTCGGAAACCAAGGTTGGCCCTAAAAAAATACCAAAGTGTCGATCACCTCAAGCAAGCGCTTCGTCGGAAATGGGCAAAAATACCGCAGAGCAACATTCGGACAACGTGTGACGGTTTCATTGGCCATCATTTGAAGGCCATAATTCGTGCCAAAGGTGACCAATTCCGACAAATCTAATTTTATTCTAAAATTTGATGCTATGTCCGACATTTTTTGCTTTCATTCAATAAAATTTAAAAAAAATCTAAAAATTATAGCATTTGAATTTGTGGCAATTTTTTTTATCTAACCCTGTATAGAATAAAAAATATTAATTAGATTTAAAACCACCCAAATGGGACGTTTAATTTCATGTCTCAACAAAGTATTTCCTCAATCACTCCCTCTCTTTGTGTAACTTCTATCTTCCCATATTTTCCCTCTTACCAGGCCTTTTTTTCTTTGTTTGTATTTAAATGTAAGGCTCGTCTCATTCTTACTCCAGTTACTTTACTGCCTATTATTTTCTTTTTTTATTCTTCAAAGTAATCACGGAAATGTTCTCAAAATTTTCCAAATAACTTTAATTATTTTTTTTTTTTTTGTTTCTATGACTCACAGCTATGTGTGCCTTCTCTTGCCTCTTTATAATTTCCTCTTTTTTTCTTTGAGATACTCATTCCCTGCCCTCTCTCGCTCTCGCTCTCCTGTAGGTCTTCATGTGGAAATGAATTTCTATTTGTGTTTGTAATTAGTTTCGTTCTGTCACTTTCTCTGTATGCTGCCGTCGGTTGGCAGTATGTCTGTCTTTGTGTTTTGTAATTTCCGTTTGTTTTTACAACAACAGCAGCAGCAGCAACAACAGTTAAGGGCGGAATATAATTTTTAATTAAAGAAATAAATAAAACAAACAAAGGCATTACAATTAGGAGAAAAAGAAAAACTAAAAATTTGGAGAAGTGATTAACTGCAGGTAGTTGGTGGCATTTATGGCAGGTGGGTGAGAGGAGATGGAAAGACTTTTAAGGGACTTTCTGGGGACTTCTGTGGACCCACGATAAAAACTCAAGATGACAAAAAACTTATTTTACTGTCTTCAGGTTGGCAAAGAACGTGGTCTTTCAAATGATTTCTTAGAAAAACCCGGCCATCAGGATTATCTTTGTGGAAAACTCGGTGTGAAAAATCTCGAAAGTAACAATAATTTGGGAAGTGATGAAAGCGAATTACTAGGGGACCAGGAAAATACAATGAGAGATTAAAACTTATCTCCTCAAGACGTTGAATATATTCGATGGCGCAAAAGTAATCCTCCTATCAGAAAATGCCATAAATGTTACGATTAGCCCCTAATGTCTGATCTGTTTTATAACAAACAATGTTACGCTGCACTGCTCCAGAACGCGGAATACGGGTGATTATTTATTTGACAAATAATCGGTTGTTGACTTTGGCACAACGTGAATTTCGTCGCAGATTTCTTGGCCGTCCAACTGGTGAAATACTGCAACGTTTAGCAGCTCTCCTCGAAGAGACTGGGACAAAAAAAGAGATTCTGCCAGGTGTGGCAGGCTTTGGAGTATCCGTTCTGCAAAGAATATTGCTGCTGTAGCCAAGGATGTCATGGAAGCGCCGTCGACATCCAGACCAGACGACGTGCCGCGCAAATGGTCTTATCAGTCGACGGTCTTTACAGCGAATTTTGGTACAAAATTTGAAAATGTTTCCGTACAAAGTCGAGATGGTGCATCAAGTGTTAGCTGCTGACCGCCAATTGCGTATAACATATGCTCAAGCCATTCTTAATCACCACCAAAAAGAAGAAGATGTCAGGCGTGGCAGATCCCGGAGTATCCGTTCTGCAAAGAATATTACAGCTGTAGCCAAGGATGTCATGGAAGCACCGTCGACATCCAGACCAGATGACGTTCCACGCAAATGAGTATCAGTCGACGGTCTTTACAGCGAATTTTGGTACAAAATTCGCAGATTTTTCACTATCAAGCGTGATAGTGTGATCTCCTTATATTTGGCTGGAAAACCACAAGTGGCCATAGCTAGAGCACTCCAGCATTTAAATGCGGATAAATATTTTGTGTCTCGTACCATCGTTCGTTACCGTGCCGTGTCAAGGACGTCGTAGCCCGACGTCAAGGAAATGGACGGAAGAAAACAGCAACATCAGCAGAAATGGTTCGAAAAGTAAAGAAGCGACTCCCGATCGAAACCCGCGTCGCAGTGGCCGAAAAATGACTCGTGAGCTGAACATATCGAAATATTCCATTCGGCAATTATTGAAACATGAGCTCGGGGTAAAGCCATTGAAATTCCAAAAAGTGCAAGATCTTACACCGCATCTGTTGCGGAAAATAGACTCAAAAGAGCTAAAGAGTTGCTTCGCTTGGCCGAAAGTGTCGAACTGCCGAATTTGGTTTTCTCCGTTGAGAAAACATTCGTTGTCCAGCAGTTGGTAAGCAAACAAAATGATCGTCTTTACTTGCCAAAGAGGTCAGCTGAAATGTGCACCTTCGGTTGGTCACCAGAACTCAAGCGCCGGTCATGGTAATGGTGTGGGAGGACCGCCATAACAGCCGATGGTCGCTCTCCACTTGTATTAAACGACCGTGACATCAGAATAAATGCCGAATATTATAGCGAAAATATTCTCGAGGGTGTATTAAAGCCTTGGGCAAGCAAACATTTTGGCCGCAGACCTTGGACATTCCAACAGCATTCAGCACCCTCGCACTCAGCACACCACCGCCACCCAAGAATGGTTACAGAATGAGGTTCCTCGCTTCATTTCCAGCGCTAAATGACCACCAAAATCTCCGGATATCAATCCGTTGGACTATTGTGTCTGGAGTATTTTGGAAAGCAAAAAAATACCAAAGTGTCGATCACCTCCAAACAAGCGCTTCGCCGGGCCAAATGGGCCAAAATACCGCAGAGCAACATTCGGGCAGCCTGTGACGGTTTCATTGGCCGATGAAGGCCATAATTCGTGCCAATGGTGACCAATTCGAACAAATCTAAACTTATTCTAAAATCTGATGCTATTTCCGATATTTTTTGATTTTATTCAATAAAATTTTGAAAAAAATTAAAAATTATGGCATTTGACTTTTTCTCCCTTCCGGAGAGAGATGTGACTCCGTCCCAAATACAAAGCAGGGTTGATGGAAACCTTTACACATTTATTCAGCTAAAAATACAAATGACATTGGACCTCTAGAAATTATTTTTTATGACCTGAAGTATGATTATCTGGATCTTGAATAGCCAGCCTACTTTAATGGAGAAGTTCTCTGTTACCATTTAAGGATTTTTTTTCTCTAAATATTTATGACCAATTAGCATTTTTTTGCGGAATTTATAAAAAAAAAAAAAACATTGACAAACGCATTACCAACCAAAAAATTCCGAAAAAATATGTCCTAGGCATTGTTTTTCCAAAAATCCCCAATGATTTGAAAACAAAACAAAGCGGAGACCTCAATGTGACCTTTATTTTCGGGGGAAAACAAAAGGCAGTTTTAGTTTTTTCTTTTTTTTTTTTTTTTTTTTGAAAATTTGCTCCTTTGGTTTGTTGTTCTTGGGCGGAAAAGCCATTTCAAATGTTTTCCCTCAAAAAAAAATTAAAAAAAATGGAGAAGAGAAACGCCGAACTCTAGGCAAAGGAATAACTTTTATTGTTTTGTTTGCCTGGCCGCCGTTTTTCGTCTCTGTTTTGTTTTGTTTGGTTTGGTGTGTGGAGGGGCTCTTAATTACCATTAAATGTTTATTTCCCTTGACTTAACAGCAACCTTTGATGGCAATGGAGAACCTGGAGAAGTTGATGATTTGGGTAATTTCTGCCAGGTACCGCGCTATGACTCCGTCTCGGCCAAGTGGAAAACGTGAGGCAGATTAGCGTTACGTTTTGTGTGATTTTTAACAAAATTCTGCAGGTCTCATCACCCTGCTCCAGCTCCTTCTCTTTCTCGTTTTAGATATTCACAAATAAATTGCGCGCAAAAATTCGGTTTTAATTATTCACAAAGCACCTAGAGCCCAAGCAGTGCCACACTTTATTTCATTACAGCGACAGGCAAAAGGCGGACTCTGGCACTTATTAACTTGGCCAGTGAATTGTTGTTATACACACGCACTGGCTATGGCTTGTGCCTGGGCCCTGGAACACCCGGGAGCCAAAGACATATTAACGCAACACTTAATTCGAGGAGGATGACAGGAAGGCACACGCACTCGCACTCACACACTCAGCAAATGACCGTTAAACCCGCCTTACTCTCCTGGTCGGAATTCCAGGCTACAACTTTTGAGGGACGTTGTCACACTCCAACTTTCCGTTTTCCGTTTCGTTTTTTTCAATCGCAAAATTTTTCAATAGCCCCGTTAATAAGAGCTCATTTTATTTTGGACTCGTTAAGCGAATGTCCCACTGCACGGCGAACGAAGGAGAACTCGTTGGCACGACACACTCACACAGCTTCCACGGAGGACAAATGGTAACTGAACTGAAAGTTGAGTTGTGGCCAAAAAACGATTCTGATGTTTACTATTTCCTTGTGATGGGAGGAGGGGATGAGGACCTGCAACAACTTCTTGTCGAGTCGACATGGCCAGGCAACTCAAACATGTTCGATGTGAAAAGAAAACAGTGGGTTCCAGGGGAGAATATTTTGGAATATTTTGGAGGAAAATGAGAAAGAATTGTTGAAAATCCCCAAAGACCAATATTTAAGGAGTTATATCCATTTTAAAGTTTGTGATCAAAAGGTGATCACAAATTATAGCTAAAAACCCCGAAATGTCAATATTAAAGGAGTTATGGCCATTTTAAAGTATGCCAACTTTCCTCCTTCAAAAAGTGATCACAAATTATAGCTAAAAACCCCGAAATGTCAATATTAAAGGAGTTATGGCCATTTTAAAGTATGCCAACTTTCCTCCTTCAAAAAGTGATCACAAATTATAGCTAAAAACCCCGAAATGTCAATATTAAAGGAGTTATGGCCATTTTAAAGTATTCTATTTTTCCTCCTTCAAAAAGTGATCACAAATTATAGCTAAAAACCCCGAAATGTCAATATTAAAGGAGTTATGGCCATTTTAAAGTATGCCAACTTTCCTCCTTCAAAAAGTGATCACAAATTATAGCTAAAAACCCCGAAATGTCAATATTAAAGGAGTTATGGCCATTTTAAAGTATGCCATTTATCCTCCTTCAAAAAGTGATCACAAATTATAGCTAAAAACCCCGAAATGTCAATATTAAAGGAGTTATGGCCATTTTAAAGTATCCTATTTTTCCTCCTTCATAAAGTGATCACAAATTATAGCTAAAAACCCCGAAATGTCAATATTAAAGGAGTTATGGCCATTTTAAAGTATGCCAACTTTCTTCCTTCAAAAAGTGATCACAAATTATAGCTAAAAACCCCGAAATGTCAATATTAAAGGAGTTATGGCCATTTTAAAGTATGCCAACTTTCCTCCTTCAAAAAGTGATCACAAATTATAGCTAAAAACCCCGAAATGTCAATATTAAAGGAGTTATGGCCATTTTAAAGTATTCTATTTTTCCTCCTTCAAAAAGTGATCACAAATTATAGCTAAAAACCCCGAAATGTCAATATTAAAGGAGTTATGGCCATTTTAAAGTATGCCAACTTTCTTCCTTCAAAAAGTGATCACAAATTATAGCTAAAAACCCCGAAATGTCAATATTAAAGGAGTTATGGCCATTTTAAAGTATGCTATTGGTCCTCCTTCAAAAAGTGATCACAAATTATAGCTAAAAACCCCGAAATGTCAATATTAAAGGAGTTATGGCCATTTTAAAGTATGCCAACTTTCTTCCTTCAAAAAGTGATCACAAATTATAGCTAAAAACCCCGAAATGTCAATATTAAAGGAGTTATGGCCATTTTAAAGTATGCTATTGGTCCTCCTTCAAAAAGTGATCACAAATTATAGCTAAAAACCCCGAAATGTCAATATTAAAGGAGTTATGGCCATTTTAAAGTATCCTATTTTTCCTCCTTCAAAAAGTGATCACAAATTATAGCTAAAAACCCCGAAATGTCAATATTAAAGGAGTTATGGCCATTTTAAAGTATGCCATTTATCCTCCTTCAAAAAGTGATCACAAATTATAGCTAAAAACCCCGAAATGTCAATATTAAAGGAGTTATGGCCATTTTAAAGTATGCCATCCTTCCTCCTTCAAAAAGTGATCACAAATTATAGCTAAAAACCCCGAAATGTCAATATTAAAGGAGTTATGGCCATTTTAAAGTATGCCATTTATCCTCCTTCAAAAAGTGATCACAAATTATAGCTAAAAACCCCGAAATGTCAATATTAAAGGAGTTATGGCCATTTTAAAGTATGCCATTTATCCTCCTTCAAAAAGTGATCACAAATTATTGCTAAAAACCGCGAAATGTCAATATTAAAGGAGTTATGGCCATTTTAAAGTATGCCAACTTTCCTCCTTCAAAAAGTGATCACAAATTATAGCTAAAAACCCCGAAATGTCAATATTAAAGGAGTTATGGCCATTTTAAAGTATTCTATTTTTCCTCCTTCAAAAAGTGATCACAAATTATAGCTAAAAACCCCGAAATGTCAATATTAAAGGAGTTATGGCCATTTTAAAGTATTCTATTTTTCCTCCTTCAAAAAGTGATCACAAATTATAGCTAAAAACCCCGAAATGTCAATATTAAAGGAGTTATGGCCATTTTAAAGTATGCCATCCTTCCTCCTTCAAAAAGTGATCACAAATTATAGCTAAAAACCCCGAAATGTCAATATTAAAGGAGTTATGGCCATTTTAAAGTATGTCATTTATCCTCCTTCAAAAAGTGATCACAAATTATAGCTAAAAACCCCGAAATGTCAATATTAAAGGAGTTATGGCCATTTTAAAGTATGCCAACTTTCCTCCTTCAAAAAGTGATCACAAATTATAGCTAAAAACCCCGAAATGTCAATATTAAAGGAGTTATGGCCATTTTAAAGTATGCCAACTTTCCTCCTTCAAAAAGTGATCACAAATTATAGCTAAAAACCCCGAAATGTCAATATTAAAGGAGTTATGGCCATTTTAAAGTATTCTATTTTTCCTCCTTCAAAAAGTGATCACAAATTATAGCTAAAAACCCCGAAATGTCAATATTAAAGGAGTTATAGCTAAAAACTCCGAAATGTCAATATTAAAGGAGTTATGGCCATTTTAAAGTATGCCAACTTTCCTCCTTCAAAAAGTGATCACAAATTATAGCTAAAAACCCCGAAATGTCAATATTAAAGGAGTTATGGCCATTTTAAAGTATGCCATCTTTCCTCCTTCAAAAATGATCACAAATTATAGCTAAAAACCCCGAAATGTCAATATTAAAGGAGTTATGGCCATTTTAAAGTATGCCATTCAAAAAGTGATCACAAATTATAGCTAAAAACTCCGAAATGTCAATATTAAAGGAGTTATGGCCATTTTAAAGTATGCCATTTATCCTCCTTCAAAAAGTGATCACAAATTATAGCTTAAAACCCCGAAATGTCAATATTAAAGGAGTTATGGCCATTTTAAAGTATCCTATTTTTCCTCCTTCAAAAAGTGATCACAAATTATAGCTAAAAACCCCGAAATGTCAATATTAAAGGAGTTATGGCCATTTTAAAGTATGCCATTCAAAAAGTGATCACAAATTATAGCTAAAAACTCCGAAATGTCAATATTAAAGGAGTTATGGCCATTTTAAAGTATGCCATTTATCCTCCTTCAAAAAGTGATCACAAATTATAGCTTAAAACCCCGAAATGTCAATATTAAAGGAGTTATGGCCATTTTAAAGTATCCTATTTTTCCTCCTTCAAAAAGTGATCACAAATTATAGCTAAAAACCCCGAAATGTCAATATTAAAGGAGTTATGGCCATTTTAAAGTATGCCATCCTTCCTCCTTCAAAAAGTGATCACAAATTATAGCTAAAAACCCCGAAATGTCAATATTAAAGGGGTTATGGCCATTTTAAAGTATGCCATCCTTCCTCCTTCAAAAAGTGATCACAAATTATAGCTAAAAACCCCGAAATGTCAATATTAAAGGAGTTATGGCCATTTTAAAGTATGTCATTTATCCTCCTTCAAAAAGTGATCACAAATTATAGCTAAAAACCCCGAAATGTCAATATTAAAGGGGTTATGGCCATTTTAAAGTATGCCATCCTTCCTCCTTCAAAAAGTGATCACAAATTATAGCTAAAAACCCCGAAATGTCAATATTAAAGGAGTTATGGCCATTTTAAAGTATGCCATCCTTCCTCCTTCAAAAAGTGATCACAAATTATAGCTAAAAACCCCGAAATGTCAATATTAAAGGGGTTATGGCCATTTTAAAGTATGCCATCCTTCCTCCTTCAAAAAGTGATCACAAATTATAGCTAAAAACCCCGAAATGTCAATATTAAAGGAGTTATGGCCATTTTAAAGTATGCCATCCTTCCTCCTTCAAAAAGTGATCACAAATTATAGCTAAAAACCCCGAAATGTCAATATTAAAGGAGTTATGGCCATTTTAAAGTATGCCATCCTTCCTCCTTCAAAAAGTGATCACAAATTATAGCTAAAAACCCCGAAATGTCAATATTAAAGGAGTTATGGCCATTTTAAAGTATGTCATTTATCCTCCTTCAAAAAGTGATCACAAATTATAGCTAAAAACCCCGAAATGTCAATATTAAAGGAGTTATGGCCATTTTAAAGTATGCCAACTTTCCTCCTTCAAAAAGTGATCACAAATTATAGCTAAAAACCCCGAAATGTCAATATTAAAGGAGTTATGGCCATTTTAAAGTATCCTATTTTTCCTCCTTCAAAAAGTGATCACAAATTATAGCTAAAAACCCCGAAATGTCAATATTAAAGGAGTTATGGCCATTTTAAAGTATGCCATCCTTCCTCCTTCAAAAAGTGATCACAAATTATAGCTAAAAACCCCGAAATGTCAATATTAAAGGGGTTATGGCCATTTTAAAGTATGCCATCCTTCCTCCTTCAAAAAGTGATCACAAATTATAGCTAAAAACCCCGAAATGTCAATATTAAAGGAGTTATGGCCATTTTAAAGTATGCCATCCTTCCTCCTTCAAAAAGTGATCACAAATTATAGCTAAAAACCCCGAAATGTCAATATTAAAGGAGTTATGGCCATTTTAAAGTATGTCATTTATCCTCCTTCAAAAAGTGATCACAAATTATAGCTAAAAACCCCGAAATGTCAATATTAAAGGGGTTATGGCCATTTTAAAGTATGCCATCCTTCCTCCTTCAAAAAGTGATCACAAATTATAGCTAAAAACCCCGAAATGTCAATATTAAAGGAGTTATGGCCATTTTAAAGTATGCCATCCTTCCTCCTTCAAAAAGTGATCACAAATTATAGCTAAAAACCCCG